AAAGAGAAGCACGGCCTTGCTTGTCAGGATCCAGCTCTGGTCTTTGGGGACTGTATAGGTTCTGCAAGAGGCTCAGCTGGCAGAAGAAGTGAGCTTATGAACTGGGAAAAGATCATTTCAGCAATCATGAACCACACATAGCTCTGTGAATTCAGTCTTATCACTTCAAATCCTAAATCATACAACTATGAAGTCCAGAGCCAAAATGCAAAACCAGGTCTCACTTATTGACACAGCATTTGTCTAGCATTTGTTTCCATCTAAGGGGCACAAATCCCTTCTTCCTGAACCCCTTGCCCAGGAAGCCAGGCCTAGGAGAACAGAGCAAATATGGATACATCCCAGGCAGGGCACTGAGTCTTCTTGTCCAAGAAGGCCACGAGGAGGTAAGGAGTTGAAAGTAGGAGACAAGGTGAAAGGAACCCTATCTACTTAATGCCAGGGAAACAAACATGAGAGCTTCGGGGGAAGACAGACCAGCGAAAATCCTCTGAAGGAAGACATGAGCAAAGGAGGTCTCTCAACAGGTGGACTTCACCACTGAAGTGCAAGGGAGAGGATGCTGGAGGGTGGTGGATTGCCAATTGGCAGGGCACAGGCGCCAAGCTGGAATCGTAACCATGGTGGTGGGGAGAGGACTGGGTAACACTGGAACATTTAGAACCAAGATGAGACCAGGGACTGAGTGTGGAGGCAGCCAATTTCCTGCCATTCTATTATTTCTGAAGGAAGAGCTTGAATAAGTTTATTTCACCTTTTTTTTTTTTTTTTTTTTTTTTTTTTTGCTTGCCTCTAATTAAAGATGCTTGAAGCAGGTCTAAGGACTGCAAAGCTGTGCTGAGGGGAACCAACTCCCAGCTGCAGCTTTTCTAATGATTACTAACTACGGAATTTTCACCAAATAGAAGATATAGGTATTACTGTCGCTAATAAAAGAATGAAGCAGTGAGACTCAAAGAACAAGGAATGTGCTCAAGATGTCACCACCAATAAAGGCCAGACACAGGAATCCAGCCCAGACCTGAGAAGTTTTAATGTTCATTCATTTGCCTTATCTTGACCACTTTCCTGGGTACCAGGATCAGGGCACCAGCCCCATCCGGTCGCCTACACATCTTGTAGTGCCCAGGGTGCCCTGCCAGTAGGATTTTCCCGCCTCTTAGTCAAAGCCCCAGGGTCCCCATCTGCAAATGCATTTTCCACACTCCCTCCTCTGGCTACTGTTCTGCCTTTCACCTCAGATGGGCACCAACATAAGATTGCACCTAAACACTAGCCTTGGGAGAGTGAGATGTGGAGGCTTACCCAACTCACAACTCTTAAGGGAAGTGGCTTAGAGCTTTTTTTTTTTTTTTTGAGACTAAGTTTCACTCTCGTTACCCAGGCTGGAGTGCAATGGTGCGATCTCGGCTCACTGCAACCTCTGCCTCCTGGGTTCAGGCAATTCTCTTACCTCAGCCTCCTGAGTAGCTGGGATTACAGGCACGCGCCACCATGCCCAGCTAATTTTTTTTTTTTTGTATTTTTAGTAGAGACGGGGTTTCACCATGTTGACCAGGATGATCTCAATCTCTTGACCTCATGATCCACCTGCCTCGGCTTCCCAAAGTGCTGGGATTACAGGCTTGAGCCACTGCGCCCGGCCGGCTTAGAACTTTTATATGAGAATTGTAGAACTGTGGAAGATACGAACAAGATTACTGGAGAAAATGCACATACACACATGCATGCATTCATGCACAGGCAATTTGGCAGATATTTTTTGGAGGTTTTCAGGAACCTCTGAGGTATATCAAGGGACTTTGGTAGAGGAATTCCTGCCCTGGGAGAGAATCCTAAAACTCTTTAGAGCACTGGTTAGCCTCAGAGCTTCCCTTAGCTTGTAGCACACTTTACCTTCTGCAGAAGGAGAAGGTGCCTCTTGGGGAGTCTAGCTGAGAAAGGAGATACCCTCAGAGGAACAGCCTATCTTCTGAGTGCAACTGGCAGACTCTGATGCCCTGTCTGGCTGAGGCAGCTTCATAGGAGCAGATATCCAGCCCAACTTTGTGATTAGAAATGACCCTGTTATCCCAGGCTAGCTACAGCCACTGCAGGGGTGCACAAGATACTCACCGACTGCCCTGAAGCCACTGGAGAGGAGGCAACAGATGTCGAGGCTGAGGGACCTGATACGCTGGTGACAGGGAAGGTCAGCACAGGTGCAGCAGCTGAGGCACAGCGGGTATGCTCTCCGGGAGGGAGAGCCGGCTGTACTGGAGGGAGCATGCACCAAGGACTCAGACAGACAAGAAAGTGAATCCCAGCACTGTCTCTCAGCAGCTTTGGAACCATTTCTTTTTGAGTTTCTGTTTCCATATGTATAAATCTATTTATAATATTTTTTATTTTGCATGGCTGATCTGAGAATAAGAGAGTGAGGGGTATAGTACAATCTCTCAAACACCACACCTGATCAAGAAACGGTCACGGATACAGATGATAATGGGTATTCTTATTAGGAAACAGGATGTTTTTGAGAATGCCAGGCTTCTTGGCATATTTCAGGGATTCCGGTTGCAAGTCAGGATTTTAGAGCAAGGGATTGATAACAGAGGAGGGTTTGCTAAGCACACCAGACAGCCTTGCAGGTAACAGGCCACACTGCTGGAGGTGCGCCTCCCTCCCTCCTCAGCGGCTGACTGCAGAGCACCGCTGGGCTGATTGTTGTATTGAGCCTGTGCACTGGGCAGGGAAGCCCTGAAACAGTTTTCTCCCCTGGGCTCTGTTTCTGATGAGCATCTCTCCACCTGCTTATATTACCCACACGCATTGCCATGTGCTTTAAAACTCTGCATGCATGTGTCTGATATGATGAGTGTGTTTGCATGGACTTAGGTGTTTGTGCATGAACATATGTATATGTGTCTATGTGTACTTATTTTGGATGCACAAGTCTACATACATGGGTGAATATTTTGTCTGCCTCTGAATTTGGATACCTCTGGGCTCCTGGCAACTGTATACTTGACTCTGCCAGCAACTGAGCTCTCCTTTGGTCACATTTGGTTGCTCACCCTAAGTAATCCAGGTCTGTCTAGTGCCCTCTCTTCCAGATCCCAGCCATTGGCCATTGCAAATTTCTGTAGCCATCTTTTTTTTTTTTTTTTTTTTTTTTTTCCCAGCAGAGAGAATTTCTATTATCTCTGGAGCTCAGTGCTCAACGTCAAGTTCAGAGGTGAGACAATAAATGCCGGCAGGGGAGGGATGATCAGACATTACAGACAATTGTCCCATCCTCTTTTGTAGGAGGTGACTATTAGCTCACCTGATTTATCTGGAATAGGTTCACTTCTCTCATAAGCAATCTCCTCTGACTAAATACTACCACTGCGAGGCATCCCCCCACCAAAAAAAAAGACAGTGATTAAAGTTACTGGCACAGGAGAGAGTTATTCATGTGCAGTTTCTTGGTACAGATGGTGAGGATAATAAGAATAAATAGTTTTATTAAAAACTACTAATGGTATAAAATAAAAGAATATTTTACATATTAAAAGTGTTACATTAGGAACAGAAATGCTGCCTCTTTTATTGTGTCCACAGCAAGGAAAGGTCAGTTAAAACTGTCTGGAGCTTGTATCTCATTTTCTTTTGCCAAGGCCAAAAGTACAAAACAAGGCTCTAGCTAAGATGCAGATGCTAATTCATAAGCAGATACTTTTGGGAGTGAAGGTTTCCTGAAAATGAAGCTGGAGGCACTCAATTAAGTGACCCCTTCGCCTTGAAAGCAGAAGGTCATACACAGAACTGAGTTATCTGTTAGACCTTGCCCATCTCTGTTATTTAATTATATTTAAAACGATTAACATTTTATTTTTTATATTTCTATCACCTATTATTAAATGGAATGACTTTTAAATGAAAAGGCACAGGCCAGTACCTCTCCATGTCCTCATGGCCTTTAGGACCACTGGTCTTTTCTTCTGTAATGTGTCTGCTCCTCCTTCAGCGCTTAAAAGACAAGCATCAGGTATGGAATTAGTTTTACTTTGGTACTATTTGGGGGATTTCCAATTTAGGATCTAGGCAGCTTCTTCTTATAAAAACAGCCCCCGCAGCTGCTCCTGTCCACCTGTCCACTCACAGAATCCAGCGGCGTCTGTTGCCCGCCCTCAACCCCAGTCTGAGGAGTGGCCCCAGTGTGGAGAAGCCTGGCCTTGATGCAGGGCAGAAAAACTGGGGCTGGGCATCCTCCCTTTGCTTTCTAAAAGAAGAAATCTCTATCATGACATGACAGCCAGCCTCCTCAGATCAGCCTTACTGAGCTCGAGGCCGACGCGAGGCTCTTTCCTCGACACAGTGACTGAAGCCAGGGGACTTTTTCAGAGGTTGGCCGAAAAGCACACACATCTAGGGGTGGAGGACCAGGCTGATGGCTCGAGGCGTGTGGTATGTCTGAGGGCATAGGATGTTCATTGAAGAAGGATCTCCACAAACCTCGTGAGGGTCAAACTTTGAGAAGCCAAGTTGTGGGTCCACCTGGAATGACAGTCCCTTAGCCCTGAGACCCAAGCAGAGAGAAGCAACTTATCTGAGGTCAGGGTGAGTGCAGAGATGAGAGTGGCAGCGCAGTCAGCTGACAGTTAGAAGGATGTTCATCCCTCCAGGCCATGGGAGCACTTCTCTATGTATGATGATGACCCAGTTCTCTCCTAAGACTCTTCCAAGAACTTAACATTTAAAGAACACTGTTAGGTTAACCAAAAATTAGACTTGCTGCTCAGGCTGTCCCTCACACTGTCCCCTAGTTGTTATCAGGGAACTCTGGATATGTACTGGGTGAAGAGGGCATGACCCCACCTCCAGGCATATCTGAGACCCCCTCGAGGAGAGGAGTCTTCCTCATGACTGTCCCTGCCGATGGCACAGAATTTAGTTCATGATCTCAGCATGCCCAGAAATAAGTAGTCAGTATTTCTTCACCCCAGAGAATAAGAGCATAGGGAGCAAAGACAAGATTTATTATTAAACAACTTTAATCCAAATGCTGATTATTATTTGCAGTGTCTGAAGGCACAAAATATACCTAAAATGTATGGAATAGTCTAAACAGAGTTATAAATCCAAAGAGCAAAGCATGAAAAAAAGATACATTCTGAGCTGACACAGAAATCTGAGTTGGGAAGATTTTGTTTCCTAGAGAACTTGCTTGAATATCAATCATTTCCCCTCATGCCAAGGGTAGAAAATTTTTAAAGAAATAACATAAACATGGTGAAGAATAACACCATGGGGTATAAAGGATTTTGTATAAGCAGAATACTTCTCTTGAAGATGCTGGTTTTCTCTGTCTCTCTCTCTGTCTCTCTCTCCCTCTCTCTCTCTCTCTCACACACACACACATACACACATACACACACACACACACACACATACATACATACACACAACCTCTATCTCCCTCTTTCTCCTCCTTGAAACTCATTCTAAGCAGAGCTATCCAAAAAGACATTCATGCTATATCCCAGAAGACAGGCCATCTCAGGGGGTGATGGGGAAACAGAATTAGGTGTGAGATAAGGCTGTGAGACCAGAGTTTGATTAATATATATATATATATATATATATATATATATATATATATATATGAAAAATTGACCATCCATCCAGGGCAGGGCCCCCAAAGTGCTGATGGAAAACAAAGCCTGTTCTTCCTCGGGTTCATGGTAGCCCACCTAGGCTTCTAGGGGCATGCGTGGCTCAAAGTTCCACATGCTCTGATTGGAGAAATGTCAATGGATTGCCTTGGTAGCACAAATATCAGACCATTCTCAGCATCCAGAGATAAATAACATAATTATAAACACTCTCTCTTCCCATGGTGCTTTTAGCTGACTGTGTGATGTGGCCGTTCCTTACTGCTCAATCATGTCACTAGGGACTTTAGGAAAGAAATCAATCCTGGGCTAGTTATCACCCTCATAAATACGTCTCTCTAGAAACTCTACAAGGCTTTAGAAGAAGCAATCAATAGGACTTTGTATTTCTCCATGACTGCAGGCCCAAGCGCTCAGCTCCTTGATTACTGCTGGCAGTGGGAGCCCTACCTCCTTCCGTGAAAGATGTGGGCTGTGTATTCCATTCTGACAGGTCAGGAGATCAGAATCACCTTTGTCTTTAGGAGAGAACTGAAGTGGCACAACTCAGATTCCCCCGGTTCCACTCCTAATGGTTCTTTCCCTGATTCTGTAGCTTAGTTGCCCCAGAAAGGGCAGCTGAAGGAGGGGGGCTGTTAGGTTGTCCTAGGCGTATAAAACCAGGCTTCCCAGATAACTGAGGGCTTCCCCACAGCTGCAGGTGCACAAGGCTAGGCCTGGGAATCTCAAAGCATATCAGATGCCCTGAGTGGGGAGGGCCCCTGCTCTGGGCTGGATTGCTGCTTGGGGAAGACTCCTGGTCTGGTCTGAAGAAGATGGTGATGCTGGGAGGGAGGGTTTGTGCTGGAGCCAGTCCTATTTGTTGGACTGCCTGGAGGATTTATGACCCAGAGAGAGATAGGCCTTTACTTTTGGGGCTACAAACAACTTCTTTGGTGGATGGGAGTTACACTTAAGCGTCTCACCTAAGGGGCAAAGCTTCCTCCTACCTAAACAAACATGGTCTCTTTTCTCTATTTCCCAGCATGCTCCATCACCTGGAGTGCTGGTCCACTCCCCTGGGCACCTCCCCCAGCTCCTTCTAACAGGATCCGTTTACCTGACACTACAAAGCTTCTACACCCTGCATCTATGGCCACACTTTCTTCTCTTACCTGGGACCATGGGCCCAAACTCAAGGGAATACTCTTCCCCTACCTGGCCTCTTGTTCCATCACTTCACCTGGTCCATGTAACTAACTGCACCTCACAACTTCCTGTCCCCAGGGACCTTCTTCCAGACCAACCCCACCTCTGCCCTGCCTCCCTGTGGCAACAATGGAGTCTTCCCTCCTTCCCTCATATGCTATCATTTGTTGAGTCTTCTAATTTTGAAAAGAAAATAAAAAGCAAGGCCAACAGGATGATATGACAACAGCTCAGCATCAAAGTTCTCAATTACTTCACCACAGGTAATTGTCAATTTCTCTCAGGCCCATGGGACAGAGGCACACTGCGGCACAAACAGCTGGTGACCATCTTGTCCTGCATGGTTCAGGACAGGATGGTCCTGAGTCCAGGGCACCTCCTTGGTCCCAGGCTACCCAGAACAGCTGATCACCCTGCAGCACAGCAACCCAGTGGGCCAGCCCAACACGGGCTCCAGACTCCCTCTATCCAGCTGAGGAACTAAAAGGAAGGAGGGGCCAGGAGCAAAGAAACGGGGCAGCAAAGCTGTGGGACAAGGCAGCGAGCGGCATGGGGGGCTCCTCGTCTTCCCTTCTCCCCCAGCAGGGAGAGGGTCCTTATCTGGTCACCCCGCCTGCCCTCAGAAAGGCCCAGGAACAGGGGGGGCTCCTTTGGCACTTCAGAATGATCACAAGTAATTTGCCTTTTTATTCATATAGAACAAAATTTACAAAGTCATTCATACAGTTTTTGTGTTTTTTTTTTTACTGACTTCGAAAATTGGGAATATTCAAAATACACTTTTACCCCACTCCATTCTGTCATTATTTACACATATGTACAAGAAAAATGAAAGAGTCTCTGTGTATGTGTGTGTGTGAGTGTGTGTGGTTTGTGTTGTTGTTTTCTTGTATTAAAAAGCTCTGCTGGTCGGGTGGGTGGGAGGGTGGGCAGGAGGGCAGGCGGCGTGGTCAGATGGAGGTCCCGTGGGAGGTGTCCAGAGCCTCTGGAAGGACGCCTCCAGGCACAGGCTGGAAGGACATGGGGATGGGGGTCTTCACTGGGCTCTGCCGGAACAGCCCCCCATTGGGCGACCTGTGTTTGCACTGCATGGAGGGCATGGTGGCTGAGCTGCTCAGCGGCAGCGGCAGGTTGCTGCTGGGCCCTGACGAGAGTGTCCGGCTGGTGCCATGGCTGCTCTGCTCTGGCAGAAAGGTGCTGACCGAGAGCTGGGTGTTCTGGTACTCCCGTGTCGGCTCCAAGGTCTGGGTGGGAGCTAGGCCCCCCATCTCCAAGGCTGAAAGCTCAATCGACGCTGGGGAAATCTGCTTGTGAGCAATGTCTTCATCCATGAGGCTGTTCATGCGCCGGTGTACCTGCTCCAAATTCACTTCTTTGTCCTGGAGGGAAGGCACAGGAAGGTCAGGTGGGCCCCCAACAGTGAGTCAAGGCTGGCTCGCTACAACTCTGGGTATCTGGAGGCACAAGGCCTGGTCAGCCTGTTGGGCTGTGGGTCAGTATCCCCCTCATGTGGCTCCCACCTCCCCTCAACTATGGGGCCAACCCTCTGTTATCTGGGGAAGCCAATGGATAAACATGATCCTTCTGTAGCAAAGTTGCTGTCAACAGGCCTTGGCTGCATCCTGTCTCGCCTCTGTACTCAGCTGAGAATCACTGCCATACCCAGAAGCAACCTTTAGGACAAGATGCTTTGAAGAGCAGGCAGAGATAGGAGAAGATGAAGTCCCACGGGAGTAAAGAAAGTGGTCCTTGAGCCTCTAAGGGTGCCCCATGAATTTGCCACTTAGAGCTCACAATGCTGAAAAGACTTTGCATGATCATCGCCCCCACTTATGCAAAGGAAGGCTCAGGCTCAGGAAGGGTCAATGACTCCTAAGAGTCAAAGGCCCATGAGCGTCAGAGGCAGCTTGGAGGCCTGGAGCAGGAGAGAAGCCCTACCTCACCCAGTGACCCATGTCCTCCCTGTGCAATCTCTTCAGGCAGTCCAAGGACGGGGACATGTCCCTGCCTGGAAGGGTAGGAGGGCACGGGTTCCTGGGTGGAGATTGTGAGGAACAGGACTTCTCCAGGGTCAGCTGACTCTCCTGGTTTCATGAGGGTTCAAGGCTACCAAAGTGGGTAATCTCACACATGATATTGTCTCACCACAGTGGGTGACATCATAGGAAAACACTTGGTTCATTTATTTGCTTAAGAAAGAAAACAAAACAACAAATACCATTCCTTTCAAATAATAATTTGCCTACAATGTCAGAGTAATTAAAGGCAGACACACTGCTTGAAAGCTCAAGGAAGACATCATCACCTTTTTTGGCTTCCCCGCAGTGAGGCGGGCACAGGACCTGGTGCCCGGCAGAGGAGCCATATGAGCTTCCCCGTGAGGTTGAAGCAGCAGGGCCTTTGCAGGCAGCATGGGTGCTGATGCACCAGGGAAGGCAGTGACCTCTCCCTCGCCTCAAACTCCTAGAGAAATACCGTGCTAAAGCTCAGCTCCAAGGCAACCCTGCAGGTAGTCTCATGCTGGCATGTATCGGAGAAAGGAACCCGTCCCCTGTCCACCTTCCAGGGGAGTTAGAAACACTAAGAAATATAAAAAGCCCTGAATATGGTTTCAGAAGGAAAAAGAAGGAATCTCATGAATCTAAGAGTCATTCCAGTGACTGTTTTGAGCTTCTGTGGGGATGGTGGGAGAGGATTTCCACCCCTTAGAAGTTCAACTGAATAATGGGCATGTGCCCCTGCCGGATGAGTACATGAATCGCAGCGCTAATCCCCATGAAGGGTCAACCCAGTATTCCTCAGGTAAGGAGGTGAAGTGCTCTGCAGGTTACTCCTTGTCTCAACGTCCCTTGGGATATAGAAGGTGGGACCACTGCTCTCTCCATACTTTATGAGTTGGTTGACACACAGAGCTCGGCTTCTGATGAGACACCTGCTGTCATTCCCAGACAAGACTCTTCCCCAGGACAAGAAAACTGACAATACCCATAAGAGAACTGACAAGTCATTCCAGGGAAGGAGGAAATCTGAGAATAAGAGAGCCAATTGGTTTGAGGGTGGAAGATATCATGGGATGTGGTTCTGTGTCATAGGTGAAAATGACATCAGAAACCATTGGCACAGCCTCACAGGCACAGCCACAACACCAGTGATCTGAAGCCCACCCACACAAGCAGAGCTCTGCTCATTGGTGCTGGGAGACCATCTCTGAGTTAGGGTCACTTCTGCATGGCAAGTGTCATGGGGAAATTGGGGGAATTGGCTGGAGAATGCCAGACTAAATATCATCCATGCAGTGTTTATGCTGACTCCTTCAAAGGTTTGTAAAATATAGAGCAAACCAAATTCAAGTTATTTTCCTCATTACCTTACACCATGGTTGAGTCAGCTCTGTTCAACTTTGCTCCTTTTTGTGTGTTCTATTTTGTCTGCTTTGTTTTCATTTTTGCATGTAAGACTACTGCAGGAATATTTTATAACTGTTATTTAGGGTGTTAGCGGCTTAGCACCACTCAGTATCACCGATCTCTTCCCAAAGAAGTCTATGGCTTATTGCTTTTAGGGAATTACTATGCCCACTGGATAACAGTTTGACAGGCTATCAGGAGACAGGTTACCTAATGAAGAGACAGAATCCTGACCCAAATAAGGACAGTAAGACTGAATCTGAATCCTGAACAAAGAGACAGAGAGACAGAGAGCAGCAGGTGCTTTATCTGCTGCAGCAGTGACACTCCACCAAACTTTCTCTTCCACAGCCATCCTCCTAGTGCCTGGGTGCTGGGTGTCCACACAGGCCCTGACTCCTGTCCAGCATCAAGCCTACATCTCTAGCATTCTTGTGGCTGCTATGAGCTCCTGCTAAACTGCGGATACAGAATCATCTGTATTAGCCAGACTGAGTGGCACAAACATTTTGATGAATATTTGTATATATAAGGCATTTTCATTTCAAAATGTATGAAGGGCACAAAACAGGTACCAGAGTGTCTGGAAGCTAAAGAAGTTGAGAGAGGAATTCAGATACTCGAAGGGTTTAATAAGATAACGTTTTCTTCTCTTTGCATCTAGCAAAGCTTGGAGACAGATGAACAAGCTGGTAACCCTCACTGGCAGAAACTTTCATTTCCATGGAGGGGAAACTTGATGACCTGGGAACCACTGGAAGAACTAAGTAACTGGTCAGTTGCATAATCTTCCCTTTTTTCTCCTTTCTAATTTCCCTTCAGGACTTTAAGGACCCCTTTGAAGCTGAAAAGAAATAAAGTTTAAATAGACTCAATTGAAGGGGGAAGCAGGTGTCTTGGTTCCAGTGCTGCTCAACTCTGGATTCCGGAAGTTGGTAAGAGTGCCTGGCCTTTTTTTCCTCAAAGTCAACTGAGCACTAGGCTCAGGAGCAGCTTCCATTTTGTCAGAGTTTGGAGAGAAGGAAAGATTAATTTCCTTTCCAAGAAAGCCACAGGGAGGTAGGGGGTTGGAAGTAGTGGCCAAGATGAAAGAATGCTCTCTACTTAATGCCAGGGAAACAAACATGAATGCTTCAGGGGAAGACAGACCAGCCAAAATTCTCTGAAGGAAAATGTGAGTGAGGGAGGTCTCTGAGCTAGATGACTGCACCATTGAAGTGCGAGGGAGAGAACACTAGAGGATGGCGGACTGTCCAGTGGCAGGGCACAGGCGCCAAACTGAAACAGTAAATGCAGTGGCAGGAGTGAACCAAGTGATACTGGAGCATTTAGAATCAAGGCCAGCCCTGAGACTGTGGAGATAGCTAGGTCCCTGCCAGTCTGTTATTTCTGAAGGAAGAGCTTGCATAAGTTTATTTTACCCATTATTATTATTTTTTTTTTGCTTGCCTCAAATTAAGGATGGATGAAGCAGTTCTAAGGGCTGCAAAGCTGTGCAGCAGGAACCAACTCCAAATTGCAGTTATTCGTTAGCCTTTAAAGTCTCTGTGTCAGGACACGCAGAAAGTGGCTGCACCAAATGGACACACTTTCCAGGGGGTTTCCTACCCAAACGGTTATCAAGAAATCCATCCTCTTCACATCAGTGGGACCTCATTCTACTCAAATTCTATTACTTCTAATAGTTCCAACACCAGGATAAATCCTGGGAGAGGAGGGTGCCATCTCGAGCCTCTTCTTCAAAGAAAAGGTATATAACTGCAGCAAATGCCTCCGATCTTTTCTGGAAAACAAATGCAGCCATTTGCTGTGTCTCACAATGTATCCTTGAAGATGCCTGCTCCTGCTGCTGTCTGTGGGAGCCAGAGCTCAGGCGCGGAGAACAGACTGCCCGGTTTGGAGACCCCGGAAGCATGGTCTGCTTCTATCACCTGGGGCCAGAGATGCAGCCCTCATCAAGTCATGTCTGGCTGTTCCTTCTGTGTCTCCAGTCAAGGAAAGAGGAGACAGGAGTAATCAGCCTACTCAAGGAAAGAGGCAGGAGTGATTTGAATAATTATCCATCTTTTAGACAAAATGGTGCATTCTGTTATGTTATGCAAATTCAAATAATGGGCTTTTTTATGTGAACTACATCCGTTTACATCCTCATTATCCCAAGGTTTCGGTGTTCGGACAGGTAATGACAGCTGTGGAAAGAGACTTGGAAACTTATTGCTGTCTTCATTAATTTACTGTAGGTAACTGACCTAGTCAAACATCCCTGAATATGACATAAAATTCACAGACTGTGTTTACCCATGAATTCCAGCTCTGCGTTTCTCATCCCATATTAAACATGATGACAGATGCACCAATGGAGGTTACTGGGAAACCTCTCCCAGGCATTGTCTTGCAGAAATAAAGTTCTGTAATTAAGCCAGTGTTCACCAACGTGGAAATAATACAGTGTATTGGAAAACGGTAATTAACTAAACTATCATCTTTGTAACCGCCTGTTACACGTGGGACTCCTTAGAACAGACTTTGCTTGGAGTCCAACAGCTCTTACTTAAAGTTGGGCAGGAACAAAAATGGGGATGAGGGACTTCCCCCTGACTTGAGCTGGCTGTTGGTGGCATTCTCCTGCTACCACTGAGACCAACCACATGCTAAATGGGACCCAAGGGCTAGGAGAAATGTCACCAACAGTCTTCAGTGTTGCTCCCAAGACTTACTCAACCCCACTGGGCTAGGCTGGGGATCTGAGAGTATTCGCTGGGTAAGGACAAAGGAGCTCAAGTATGTAACTGAAATGGTCTCAGGAGGTGGTGGGCAGTTTTTCAGTATCAGGAGACAGAGTTCTGATCAGCAGATTTTTTAGGAAGGGCAATGAGAGCGAACCGACAATGACTTCACACCCTGGGTGGCAGCAGCAAGTACACTGAGAAATGAACATCAGAGGCTAGGGGTATGGCAGCTTGCTCAAGGTC